AATTTTAGGTAGCAGGACATTTCCCGCATTGCTCACATTGTGGAATCTTCTTCCCTCACAGATGAAATTAGCTTCATTGCTCCTTAGCTTTTGAAGGTCCCTCATGATCTGGTTATGCCAGCAGGCATGGGGATCCCAAGGGACAGGTGAACTTGTGAGACGGCTCTGTTATTATTATCATCCAGCCATCTATTAGTCTCTTTTTATTACTTCTGCTTTTATAGTTTTTAATTTTTTTTAATAATGATCACATAATGGTTTCAGTTAATAATTGTTTTATATGTATTGCTTTAGAGGATTGCTGCAGGTTGCCCAGAGTCACATGGGTGACCATATAAATTTACAAATTTTAAATAAATAAATAAATAAATCCCAAAAATAAAGAGAGGAAGTTTCTCAAATCTTAATTTCTAAAGCATAATTTCTAAAGAAATATAATGAATGGGGATGAATGCATAACCTATTCCATGGGTTTCAGACATGAAAGAATCAAAGAAAACATTTCATCTGACATCAAATGTAACCTATCAATCTAGATAATAGGCAGAGACAAAACGAGCCTGGAAAATGAATTTCTGAGCAGCCAGTCAAGAGTGGGAAGGTTTACCCCTCAAGCACACTTTTAAAGGAGGAGGAGGCGTTTTCCTTGCCTTTTGTCTTTACTTTTCATGGGGAAAGTGGATGCGTAAATGCCAAACTGGCTCAAAACATGTAAGCAGAGCCTTTAGTTGGAGGTCTAGGTAAAATACAATAGTCTTGGGATTCGTGAAAGCTAAAAATGTGTTAGAGGTTCGGCTTTGTTCTAGGCAAAATTATTTGAATGTTGGTGCCTTTTGTTCCGTCTTTGTTCCAGGTAACTATGCATACATACCTGGCAGTGCTAATACCCTCAGAAGACATAGTTATTTTATTTTTGTCTTCTTGGCATCTCTTTAATTTTATAATTGTGTATACATAATAAAAGACTTGCATTCTTACTGCGACAGTGACTCATATTCTGAAAGGAAGGAAGCCATAGTACACATAAACAGGTTCTCCTTTTGGAGATGTGCAACAGCACATGAGGATTGTGAGGTAAGACTTAGGGATCCCCAGAAGGGCCAACAAACCATGTCCAGGTGAGCATGTATTTGCAAATGTCCTGTACTTCCAAATGATTCATTTTGAAACAGGCAAAATCGGTGTATTTTTTTCTCATATTTTTATTTAGATCTTTGCTCCTTAATCAAAACACAATACAAATTAAACAACGCTGGTCAAATATTTTATAGCTATCTCTCTAAATGTCAAATGTAATTTTGTCTGAAATGATATAGGATTTCCTGCCTGAGCAGGGGGTTGGACTAGAAGACCTCCAAGGTCCCTTTGAATTCTATTCTATTCTATTCTATTCTATTCTATTCTATTCTATTCTATTCTATTCTAAATGAACTTTTAAGTATGCCACAATTTCCCCCCTCCCCCGCCTCTACTATGCTTAGTAGGTGCCCTATGTTCTTAAAACATGCATCCAGGCCCCTTTGAAATAAATGTTTAAGGCCAGGAATGGGAGACTGTAGAAAGAAGTCTCTTTTATGAGAAACCAGAGAAAACAGCTTCCTCTAAGAGACACATATAATTTGCATTTTACATACAGTAATTTTAAGTGTTGCTATTTAATTTAAGTGTTGCTACGAAAAGAGGAGAGGAGACAAACAGCACACATTAAGAGGAATGTATTAATATTTTGACGAGAATGTTGTACTGGAAGCCAGTGTAGATTCATTATTCCAAACTATTACCAGGTATTCTTAATAACACATTTAAATATATACTAGTACTATTAAATTTAACTTCCTTATATTTTTTTCTATGAAATGTTTGGAGAGAGTTTCAACAAGGAAAAAAAAAACACAAAAAACTGTGTTACTGTATAAAAATCATATGAAAGTGTCCAAACAGGAAAAAAATACAAAAATGAACACACACAAACATACACACACACACACACACAATTTTCATTGTTATAATCGAAAAGTAAAGATAGTAAAGTAAAGCTAAAGAAAGAAAATGTTTATCTTTTTATGATTAGGGCTGAGGTATATAAAATGCAGAACAATAAGTAAAAGTATATTTTCCCTGGGAATTCTGAAAGATCAAATAGAGGTCTGACCAAATAAAGACAAAACAGGTTATAGCATAATCTGTTCTATAATGTATACTGCATAAACTATTGATTGTAGTAATTCTAGCATTATATCTATTGTTTTCAATAAACAATAGTCTTATCCAGCTGTAATAAGAAAAAGTTGTATCTAGGTAGCTCAAATAAGACACATGTATGGAAGCTTGTTTCTGCAGAGGAACTTATCTTTATTGATGAGATGAACATTTATTGAAGCAGTGCCAAGAGACCTGCTGTTGAAATGCGCTCAGAAAAGTAGAACACATCTTCCTTCAGAATAGCTGTTCTAGCCATTTAATTTTTCCTATGCTTCCTTTGGGAGGCCTATATAGTGGTTTTGAAGACTGCTCCAAACTGGGTGTCCATGCATGTATATATAAACATTATTTCTCTTTTTTTGAGAGCAAGCATCAGAATTTCATTTTAATGTGTGCCATTGTGTACGCAGAAAAGAGACTGTAAATCTTATCTTGTCTTGTCTCGTCTCATCTCACCTCACCTCGCCTCATCTCATCTTTTCTTATTTTATCTCACCTTACCTTACCTTGGAAACTAACCAAAGAGAGAAGCAACCTAGAACTAAGGAGAAACTTCCTGACAGTTAGAACAATTAATCAGTGGAACAACCTGCCTCCAGAAGCGGTGAATGCTCCAACACTGGAAGTTTTTAAGAAGAGACTGGACAGCCATTTGTTCTGCTTGAGCAGGGGGTTGGACTACATGACCTCCAAAGTCCCTTCCATCATCATCATCATCATCATCATCATCATCATCATCATCATCATCATCATCATCGTCTTCTATTATTATTATTATTATTATTATTATTATTATTATTATTATTATTATTATTATTATTATTATTATTATTATTATTATTATTATTATTATTATTACCTTAACCTTAATCTCATCTGTGCATGTGTATATACATATTTCTCATTGCTCACTTGCTTTTTCTCTAATTGGATAATGTAATGGTTTGTAACGAAACCAGCCTCTTCATAAAAATGGCATATTAGTAGTCATTCATGATTCTTACTTGTGCAATTATTCACATCTAATTATTCACAGCGATTCTTCTTTTTTGTCCATTTCTTTGTGTTCGTTTATTGAAAGTTACACAGCATACAGCCCTTTCGAGGTTAATAAGTTATAGTAAATGTGTCACAAAAATAACAGTACATTTATTCTCTACTTCTTTATGATCAGCATAACTTATCTCTACTCTGGCATTTTCTCCATTTGAAGGTGAACAAGGCAGTAGTGAAAAGATCTAGTGGCCATTAAGGAGGTAATTTTTGAAAAGTCACATATTTATCCTTAGCAGCATGCTACATTTGCAAACTTGTAACCATGGAAAACATACTTACAAGCCGTTTAAGTGTCTCATTGTTGCTATTAATTTCATTCTGTAAAGTTTATTTTCAACTATTGTGGATATTCTAGTATAAAGTGACTTTGACTCAGTCATCTCATTGTATATATTAATGTGACTATTATTAACAGATTTGCCCCATGCTACTTTAGCTGGGCAAAATTTAAGTAGTATCAAATTATACAATAATAGTCTAATGGAAATCTGAATTATTAAAGAAAAATTGTAGATGAGTTCTGTGCTGTGTACACCTCTTTATGGTACAAAAACTGTCATGCAAAATCACTCATAACTGCCAGTTGAAATCAATGATACTTTTCTTTAACTTTTTGTAATGCTAGTATTCCTTAAAAAAAAAGGTGAAGGCCCCATTATTTACTTTCTCACAAAATACTGAAAAACTTCAAAGTATCTTCCCTTAAGAAATTGCTATATAGATTGCATGAAGAAATATAATGCAAAGCCAGAACTGACAAGACAGCAACAGGCAGCAAAAAACACCTCTGTAAAGAAGCTGTAGAAAGAGTGGACCACCTAGTTAGCTGCTGCAAGAAGATCACATAGACTGACTACAGACAAAACAACAACAATGGTACATTGAATATATGCAAAAAATATCACTTGCCTCCCAGCAAGAACTGGGGGACCACAAAATAGACAAAATAATAGAGCACGAAGAAGCTAAGTGACCTGGAACTTAAGAATTCAAACAGAAAAGTATCTGCCACATAACACTCCAGACTTAATAACTGTCGATAAGAGAGATAAAAAAGTCTGAATATTGGATGCAGCAGTACCTGGAGATAGCAGAATAGTAAAGAAAAAACTGGAGAAAAATCACAAAATAGAAAGATCTGAAAGTAGAAATAGAATGGCTGTGGCAAAAGAAAGCAAATGTAGTAATAGTAGTAATAGGTGCCTTGGGGGCAATCCTAAAAAAGATGGAACACCATATGAACACCATCAATACCAACAAAATAATTATCAATCAATTTCAAAAAGCTTTATTTGGAAGAGCTTACATCCTGTGATGATACCTTTACCACTATCAAACAACAACATATGCCTATCTCAGGTATTTGGGAAGGACTCAATTAGTGGATAAAAATGCCAAATCTAAATATCTGACTGATTATATGACCAACTGTAATAATAAATGTCTAATTTAAAACTCAAATCTTTATTTCAATTATAATGCATATGAACATATGAAATTACAAGCTTGTTGAAGAAATGAAAGAATCTAATTCACTCACTCAGTCACCAAGACATACATAATATTATTAATACAAAATTGGATGAACCATTGTGATTTAATCTTTTCATTAAACCCTATAAAATTCATATCTTCACTGAAGAGCAAATATGTTGAACTTCATTAAACCCAAAGTTAACATCCTAATCGTAAATAACAAACAGAGCATTAAATGATTACAATTAAGATTTCTGGCTGCCTACCTGTTGGCTGTGTTCTCTTGTGGTAAACAAGGATATCTTTAGCATTTTCAAGTTTCATTAAAAACTTCGTATCTCTGCTGTTAAATCTGTTAATTTGTATGACACTGAAGTTGTCTGAATTTGTTCCATACAAATAGTCTTCAAATATTGCTAAACCATACAGATGAGTGACCTGAGGGAAAAAATGCACACACATAAATATATACATATATAATTATCCAATTTTACTAGTTTGTTTTACTTGTCTAGTGATGTAGGTTGTATATCAAGATTAATAACAGAAGTCATAACTAGGATGTGACTATTGGCTAATGAGAAACTCATTAAAACAGAAAGCAGAAATGGATTTTGCTTTTTTTTTCATTTGAACAATATGCATTTATTTTAAGAAGCTTTGGAATGAAAAATAACATTTGCCATTCTTATAATAAATACCACAAGCCAGAATTCTTGGATTCTCGTTTTTTGTACCAAGTGTTTCCAATCCAGACTACAAGGATGAAAGTCTGACAATTATGTTTTTAAAAGGGTAGAAAAGTAGCAATATTCTGACTGAAAGGATATAGAGATACAATAAGCTAAATTTGGGAAGTATTGCACAATTTTATGCCCCAATTAGGGGTGTATGGATTGGATCTTTATTCTTCAGCAGATCAATGAGAACTTTATGAATGTAAGAATAGAAATCTGTTCTATGTCCACTGATTTATAAAAAGAGTATGATGAAGTGAATAGTTTTAATTATGGAATATTTTGTATGACTATGAAATTGAAGCTTAGTTACTGAATGGCTGGCAACTAGTGGTATAAAGGGAAATAAAAGGATGCATAATAATAAATGAAATGCTTAGTGAATATTTCAGCATTGAGCAGGAAGTAAACAAGGATGTATACTGTCCCTTTCATTGTTTCATGTATTTATGAACAAATGGGTAAGACATGTTTGTGTTAATGTAAGAGTTATGTGGGTTAGGGGATATGGATATGTGTATAGTTCTGTGTGAGGTATGATGCTTAAGAGCAATAATGTGAATGTCCAAGTACTTTTGTCTATATTGTTGGCTAAAAATCCAAATGATCTGAGTGAATGTGAGATACTTTTTCCTATTCTGCTCATATGAAGTGAGAACGGAGAAATATAAAAGGAAGTTAAATGCAGTTGGAATTAATTACTTAAGAAGAGTAGGTGGTAAAACAATAAAAAGATCAAGAATTAATGGGTAATGGATGAATATGGATCAGATATAACAGCAAATGATCAAAATAAAGGTTATGATTATGTGGTTTAATCAAGTAGAGAAAATGAATGACAAATTACAAAACAAATAGATAAAGAAAGCATCAACAGGTGGAAAGATGGATGAAAGAAAAAAGTTGGGGTTGGATAAAGTTGATCAGAATCTCAGATAGGAGCAAATGAGATGTTGAAAATCAAGATGAAATACTGGTGGATAGATCTGATAGGGGCAAGGATTATTATTTACTATTTCTTACTCCTTTCCTGTGCACTGATAATCTTGCTTACCCCAAAAAGGAATGCAAATGAGAAATGAAAGCAGTTCAGGATCCAGCTGTATGTTTAAATTAATTTGTGGATAGAGGTACTGTATTTCGAACATAAAATCATACAATTGTTTAATATCCCATTTAGGTCACCCTTGATAGTTGACTGTGTATGTTCTGCCTGAACATTTGTAGTATTCCAGTGTTCATCTTCTCCTTCATCAGTTGCTTTTTTAAAAAAAACAAATTTTATTGTTTTTTTTTCATTTTACAAACAAGTGCTTAAGAATCAATGTGATGGTAGGGCAATCAATTGTCCACAAACAAAGTCATATTCATAAAGTTCAGATTAAATCGTTAAAAACCCCCTCTCTTTTCCCTCTAGTAGCATATTATATTCAAATTAATATATTTCAATACAACTAAGACAGTCATAACAATCCTCAATAACCTTTCATCAAAATAAATCCACAAATCCAAATCCTGTGTTGACCTTAACTATTTCAAATGCTATATTTCATATTTCTAATCTAAATGCATAATTAACACTTCAGGTGTCTCCCCATTGCCTTTTTCCTTAACATATTCAATAAACATTAATTAGTATCATTTCTTCTTTTATCTTATTCTTCTTGCATTACAAAGTAGCTATCATTTCTAATAAAAAAATATTAGTTCAAAACAGAAAAGAAAAAAAGAACAAAAAATCAGAAACAAAGTCAAAACCAAGAAAAAAGAAAAAAGAAAAATACCTTACTATTTCTATTATATTTTATAATCTATCAATATCAAATTCCTTTAACCTCCTCCCAAAATTACTATATCCAAAATATATTAATACATAAACAAACCTCTTATTAAATTCAAACCTTTAATTAATTTTTATTCAATCTAACGTCTTATTTAACTGTCTTAAGCCATAAATCAGTGCATATCTAATAAGCCTTTTAAACCCGTTACATGAAGCCTTAAGTCACACTCTTAAATCTTATTCTAGCTTTCCTTTTATGCCAAACAGCTTTCCATAACAATGCCTCTATATCAATGAACAAGTCACTTTTTATGCCTTGTGGTGTCCTTTGTATCAAACAGAAACATCCCCTTTTCTGTTTTAGAGACCTAGTTCCTTTGTAAGTAATCCCTTGTTGTTTTAAAGAGTCAAATCTCCACGTTTGAAACTGTTGAATAGCAGGCTCAGTTATGTCCAACTTTGTAGATAATAGTTGCTTATCCAAATTACCATAATACTCAGTTCGTTGAGCTTGTCTGTCCATTTCTGTTGGTTTTAGAGTTGTAGGTGGTTTAATTACAGTCCTTTTTGGTTCCTTGGTGATCTCATCAGCATGCATGTGAAGTAAAATAGAATCTTCTTTACCCTTGGTTAGTCCCGCTTCTGTTGTTTTTTGGTCTATAGAATGCTCAAATAAAGTCTGAGGGTCAATTTGTAAGTTCAAAGCAGGATTTCTGTTTTTTATTTCCATAGTAAATTCTTTTATTTGCAAACATATTTCATCAGTAGCTTCATAAAGTTTTTCCAGTATGAGCTTATAGTCAAGTTGAACATAGGATTGCTCCATTTCAAAAATAATTAGGAACAGTCTGTATCATTTAGTAGAGGCTGTGTTCAAGGAACATTTAATCAGTATCCACCCCCACCAGTACAGCTGTTAATTTTCTTTGTATTTTTCCTTTTATGGTAATCTGAAGGTCAAAGTCACTCTCACCATCAGAAAAAAGAGAGAGTTGCAATTTTAACTTTTTCCACAAGGTGTCATCAGTACAATGTAAAATCTTCTCCCAGAGACCAGGAATCTCATAAACAAGATCAGGAAACACAGAAAAAAAGGAGAATTCAAGTCCAATAGCAGATTCAATATTAAAAAAAAAAAATTCTAAGACCCCAAAGTGAATTAAAAAAAATAGAAAAAAATCACTTTAAATTAATTCAGTCCATTTAAGCTTCTTTTTCCCACACTCACAAACACCGCCTTCTTAGAGCAGGGAAATCATTTCAAAGGTGCTTTTTACAGGCACAAAAGAAAAAGGAAAACCAAGAGAGGGAGAAAAAAAAAGTCTCACCCAGCTCAGCCACGGTGGTTCCTGTGCTTAGATGTTCTTCTGACTTCTGGTGAACGGCCATTTTAGTGGCCGGACTTTCCACCGTCGGCCCAAAGGAGCAAGCTCGGGCCGTGGAAGAAGCTGCCGCTCTCCCACGGACAACGAGGACCTCCTCAGTGGTAGCCACCCCTCCAAGGCGGCTTTTCAACCTGATTAAGGGTCTACCGGCAGCGGAAACTCAGCTGGGGAGGAGAGGAGTCTCCTCACACAGCTGCGAGCGCTGCAATCCGGAACCGAAAGTCCTTCATCAGTTGCTTTTATTCTCAACATGTTTTTAATGTAATCAATGTTTTATTTACAGTATTTTATGTGTTTATTTACAGAACATTGATGACTGCCTATCTCATATAGTAATTCTAAGTATCTCACAACAATCCATAAAAAGCATAATTAAAAAGAAATGCATAAGCAACAGACCAACAATCCTTACAGCTGAAACCCACCCTAGTCCAGAGCATGGGAAACAGCCTGGTCTTCATAGACTTCCCAAGGGACAGGTGGGAGGTTGTTCCAATGGGTTTGGGGTAGCCACCAAGGAGATTCACTTCCAATGACCTGCCTCATAGCAACACCTAAGGGAAGGAATATGGAATGCACCATCCTATCTAACCTAGTAGAGTAGGCAAATAACCTGGCCCTGTGCTATTTAAAGGTGATAACCAGCATATTGAATTGCACCAAAAAAGCAGTTGGGAGCCAGTACAGCTCATGCAGTAGTGGTGCTACTCAAATGCACCCAAAATTGGATGTCCCGCTGCATTGTGAACCAGTTGCAGCTCCTGGATGCTCTTCGAGGGCTGCCCTATGTAGAGAGCATTGTAGTAGGTGGTGACTAATTGTCCTAATATTAAACTGAAAATCATATTCCTGTTAATTTAAAACTAGTATCCTGCAGACGACTATGTATTAGATGTGGTTTTCTTCCATTTGACAATTCTTCAGGAACTTGAAAACTACTACCAATCACCAATAAAATGTTTCCAATTGTAATTAAAACCAGTTGCCTTTATCTTTCTTCAAATAGGTAAGTTTCTAATCTCCTGGTCATCTTTGTTTCTCTTATCTCAATCTATTCTATCTTATTCAAATATTGAGCCTCTTATTTAAATTCTAATAGAGAGAAAGGTGAGTGAATCCCTTTTCATTAGCATACTTGTCCATGAGCTGATTGACCCTGTTCTTTTTGAAGTTAAGCAATAATCTACTCTTTTGAATATAATATAATACAGAAAAAGAAGGCTCATTATTAATTTGACATGATAGGTTTTTTCTTTAAAAAAATAGTGTTTCCTTGAAAGATCTTTCCATATTTGAAAAAACAAGATTGTATATAGAAAGAGAGAGAGAAAGAGAAAAAAAAATAAACAATGCACAGTATTTTGGATTTGTACAATCTTGGTGTGGTTCAAAAATGTGCATTATTTAGATTTTCGCATACCTTCAGAAACCACAACAGATTTTAACAGGCAACATTAAGAGATACTTACCAGTTGGCCTTCAATTATAGTTTGCCTGTTACGTCCTTGGTAGTCAACCACTCCTAGAAAGTCAAGGTAGACATCAATCCAGTAAACGTATTTGTTGACAAGGTCAAGTGTAAGAGCAGTCGGCTGCTCTATTTTAGATATTACTATCCTTGTTCTGTTCATGCCATCCATATCACATCTCTCAATTTTAGCAACATTTCCATAATCTGTAAAGAAGAGCTTTCTGTAACGAGAAATTTCAGACACATTTTAATAATTATGCACATTTAATAGCAAGGACATAAAATGCAATCTGTAACAAAAAAGTTGTGTCTNTTCTTGCAGACATTTCATTACCAAACTAGGTGACATTATCATCATTGCTGCATCATGTCCTGTGCACTGATGGTGTTAACCTAGCTTGGTAATGAAATGTCTGCAGGAATACCACCAAATTCAGAGAGCATCAAGGACCCCACCATTCAACCTTGAGCTACAAATAGTCTCTTTTATTGGAACGTTCATCTTCATCTGGTAGAGTAACTGTAAAGAAAATGTCTATCTATAAACCAAATCATATAAGTAATAAATACAGGTAATAATAATCAATCATTTTTTTAAAAAAAACAAACAAGCAATGGTATTCATAAGGGAAGGAAGGAATATTTTAATTACATATACAGAAGACATATTTCAGACCATGATGCTTCATTTGGGGAGGGGGGGTATCAAATGCCTATTTTTCCCCTTTTATCAAGGATATCCAGAACATAATAATCCATGTATGTTTTTGTGAAGATAGTTTTCAATAGCCTGAAGCAACACATTAGAGAAATAATTAAGCAAATGGAAAGTAAATGTGAGGTATTGACAAAAAACACATAGAAATAACCCAGACTTCATGACTAACTCATTTATCCCAAAGCGTATCATTTTGTGAAAGGTAAATTATTGACAGATAAGTGTTATCCATTTTAAAAAGAGAGCGAAAAAAAATGTTCCAGTGCATTTATCTGTCCATATATTTGACTCGCTGATTACATTTAGTGTAAAACTAATAGGAATCTCTGAAACCACCAAAGCTTCTAAGCCTGATATTTGATTAGCAAATAGTGTGTTTAGTAAATCACAAATCAATTTCAATTAACCTGACAATATTTTAACAAGATTAATTTCCCATGGGATTAAATTACATTTGTAAATGGAAGCCCATCCCACCATGGCTCTAATGCTAAGGGGGAAAAGCATCTGTTTTCTGGAGACTAAATTTTAAACATTGCTTAGAAAACTAATAAGATTATTTTCTAGACTTGGTAAAATTATTTAAGTTCTCTCTCTCTCTCTCTCTCTCTCTCTCTCTCTCTCTCTCTCTCTCTCTCTCTCTCTCTCTCTCTCTCTCTCTGTGTGTGTGTGTGTGTGTGTAAGTGTGTGTGTGTGTGTGTGTGTGTGTTTGGGTAGCACAGAAAAAATCAAGACAATGTACAAATGTGTAAGATTTGGCTACTCTAATTGGTGGCTGGGTTTATCCATCACACTAAGCCATGTATAATTTAAATAATGACATTGACCATTAAACTATTGGCTGAATTCCTAAAACATGCTAAGCATGTTTATATATAAATATTGCTCTAAGCCAGTTAAGCTACAGACACCATATTACTCATTAATGGTAAGAAACTAATAAAGCTAAACATTTTTATCTACTGCTATATCAATTAGAGAGTACATCATTATATTTAGTGTCAAGCAATTATAATAATAATAATAATAATAATAATAATAATAATAATAATAATAATAATAATAATAATAATAATAATAATAATAATAATAATAATAATAATAAAGTTGGAAGGGACCTTGGAGGTCATCGAGTCCAACCCCCTGCCCAGGCAGGAACCCTACACCATTTCAGACAAACGGCTGTCCAGTCTCTTCTTAAAAACTTCC